GAGTTACAGGACTCTCTCCCAGACTACAGACTCATAATACAAGTCAGAGCTTTATAAAATAAAATTTAAAAAAAGAAAAGAAAAAGAAAAAGAAAGCTTTGTTTTCAAAATTGGAGTTCAAGTTATTTTTACTTCCAGTGTTAACATACTACATAAGTCATGAACAAGAATTTTTTAAATTTTAATTATAAGTGGGATAAAGCAGTTAATTAAAAGTAGTCTAACATAAATGCTGTAATTTGATTATTTTAATAAACCATGTAACTTGGATGGATTCGATGCTGGCCTGACCACAGTGCTCACATCTAATGTTGCTCACAGTGGTCCAAGGGACTGCTCAGGGAGTTTGTGTGTTCACTCAGACACATGAAAAATTAGAGGGAACATTGCCAGTAACTTAACATGCTTGTTTAAATTCCCCACAGATTTATTTTATTTTGCTAGTTTCATAGGAACATGGCACCATGTATACTGTGCAAAGATACTGAGCCGCCCCTCATTTCTTAGTATTTTGTTCGAAGGAGCCAGACTAGTTTTTTAAAGTGTTCTTGAACAATAGTTTTCCAGGCTTTCTGAAGGTCCTTCAAGGTTTTTCTCTGGATTTTTGCTTCTTTTTCACTCATTTTAAATTCAATCCCTGTACCTGATTATTTTCATGTGGTTGTTAAGCCATTTAAAACTAACCTGCTGAGTATTAATTGCTGTGGAATTATTTTAAATATGTTAAAATAATACAAGAACAAGAAAAAATTAAACAAAAGATACAAAAAATGTTATCATAATAATCTTAATAAACAACCTGTGCAAAAAGGAGAGAAAGTGGATGATTGGTTAAACCCACTATTAATATATAATCCTGTTCTTCCTGTTTGTGCTGTATGCTTTATTAAATCGTACCTTAAAATTTGCTACATGTATTTGGTTTTATACCCTCAGTACACATCAAGAGATGCACATATTTACAGATATACACACACATACACTGAAAGCCCTGCTTCCTCCTGCAAAAACTTTGCACTGCATTTTAAACGGAGTCATGCTGGGACATGTTCTGTGCTCATTCTGTTCCACTACTTCACTCCACATACACACATGCAACATCTTTTGAGTTTTGCACAGATACAAGGATATTTTAAATGTAACTTTGAGCAAAAATGTGAAGGAAAAAAACATAATATTTTCAGGAAGTAGGTTGAACTAATTATGTATAAATCAATAAACGTCAAAATTCACTAGATTAGCGAATTTGAGTATTTCTGATTAATAATTGTTGTTCTCTTCATCCAGTATTATGGAATATCCTCATGAACCTATTATTAATTCAAGTATAAAAAAGGCACCAAACTAAGGGATGAACCTGTTGTGTCTACACATAACAGACAACTTAGTAAACAACTCATTTTAAACTGTGTCTTAAGGCACTTTGTTACTAGCAGGTGGTTACAAAAACACATAATTTGTTCCCATTCCTTTAGCCGAAGCTCCAAAAAATACCAAAGATAACACAGTTTGACAGACATAAAATAGTGTTTTTGCTCTAACAACTTGATTCCCAAAGACCCGTTGGCACATCTCTGCATGGTGTGCAGCGTATCTTTAAAAAACTGAGAAAACTGGAGGACAAAATAAGAAGTGGCAGGCCTGACAAACTAACTACAGCAGATGAGCAACATCTGAAAGTCATGTTCTTAAAAAATAGGAAAAAATCCAGCAAATACCTGACACAGGACCTGAAAGATGCATCTGGCTTCTAAATTGATCCATCTACTGTTTGTTGAAGAAATGGTCTCAGTGTGAAGAGTGGCTGGCAAGAAGGGAGAAAAGTACAGAAAATTACAGAAGAACTGGACTGAAAATCAGTGACAGCAGGTCTTATGGAGTGATGAGTGCAATTTAGAAAATTTTAGTTCAAATCATCATCAATATGTACAGATGAGCTCAGGAGAGAGGATCAACAGTGAGTTCAAAGAAGACCTCAGGATGTCCTTCGAGAAGCCTGGAGAACTGAGATTATCTGTTTTTTAAAAGTTTTTAAAATGTACTTCAGGTAATTAAAATATGTCAACCCCTGGTTTTAGTTTTTACACAAGTTTAGATCTATCAGAGAACTGGAAGTGCTGGTGGATGAACAGCTGAACGAAAGCACAGTCTGTAGCTTCAGTTAAATGGCTACTGACTGTAGCTTTATATTTCTATTGGACAAGCACTTGTGTCCACAGTGATGATTACTACTACTACAACACACAAATCTGACCCTCTCATTACAACACTATGCTCTGAAACATTAATATTACTTTGCCATGTACTACCCACCAAAACACTCACTTATGAGTGAGGCAATGATACCACTCCAGAGCAGCAGCCTACCTTATCAGGATGCTATACCGTAAAAACAGGAACTCAGAGCACCAGCCTAGTCTTCAAACTCCCCAGACCTAATCCATAGAGACTTGTATCCCAGAGGACCCAAGTTCCATGACCACAGGACACCCCCAACGGTCCTGTGTCCATACCCTGATGGATCACAGCTGTTCTGGAGGCGCGAGGTGGACCCACACAATATTAGGCAGGTGGTCGCAAAGAAGCTGATGGGTTTATGCCTTATGAAGAAGAAAGAAGAAGCATTCATGAGGGTAAGCCATGTGGAGAAGTTGAATAGATAATGACTCCCTTTTGTGGTTTATCGAGTCATTATCTTGAAGGGGGAAAAAGGCAGGATTTATCCAAAGAAAAGGTCATAACGGAGTTCATCATTAGGATTCCCTGAGGGGTCTGTGTAACAGTAATCCATCAAGATGCTGCACCTGCAAAGAGACAAAACTGTGAGATGGGATGAAGGATAGAGATCCAACTGCACATGAGAACGCTGCAGACTGGCGCCTTCATGTAGAATAATAACATAATGGCATAATGAATGTAGGCAAAACAAAGAAAAAAGAAGTAAATATGTAAAAGTGATAGTGGAAAAGATTCTGTTGAAACCTGCAGTATATCAAAAATATTATCTTTACTTCACACATATAAGCAACATTTATAAAACATAAGATATTAAGGAGGAAACAGTGAACTAGAGATCATTGTGTGATTGGATTACACCAGTTTTAGCTCATTTATTGGGAAGTACTCAAGGGTAGGACCACACCCATTTATGAGCTTGACCTTGATCGCTGTATCTGACACGTTTGTGATGGACAAATAAGGTAGACCCTGATTATTCTGTTTTTTGGGGGGCCAATTCAAAGAAATCTAATATAAATAGATCAGCTATATTCTGTCTTAAATTCATATTATTTTACTTTCTCTGAAATACCCATAGTGCATTTTCCTGCGTTATTTAAAAATAATACAATGTCTGCACACTGGTGCTGATAAATCAGTGATAGACCATAAGAAGCCCAACAGTATGTCCACTGAATTCTATTATAAACACAGGTGAATACTCATTACCACATTTGTGGCTGTTCTGACTGTATCCAAGGCCACATTTTTTGCCACACACACACACAATCCCGACACAGACACACACACATTTTTTATACTTTTTTTTTTCTATGTTTGTATTGTTCAAACCCATAGATACACAGATGTTCAGACCAAGGTCAGCATTGGCTATAGTCAACTAGTTATCTAATTAGTAATAAATTTACTGCTCATGAAAAGTGTCAGAATGTCCATATACACAGACATACATGCTTAATCCCTCAGATGTAATAGGTTGTTTCATTTTCACGGGCTTCATCAATGTTTTAGGAAATGTTTTAAACTAAAATAAATTTAAATCCTCAGAGCTTTGAGAGAGGTGAGTGAGTGAACCTGCATTATTATCAGCTGATCATAGATGGGTTGCTTATCACAGAAGTAGTTCAACAGAAGTAGAGAGATGAGGAGGTAAATACCACTTTTGTATATCTTTGGTGACAATTTTGTGAAATGACAGTCAAGAAGAGCTAAGACTGAAAAAAAAATGCAGCTAGCCTGTCGAAAGGTAATCTGTATCTATCTGGTTGTGGTTTAAAATTTCTGTTAGTGTGCGTTTGAAAAAACAAGTCTCTTAAACTTCAGAGTGAATTCTTAGCTTCAGAAGTGCTCTTTAAGTGATCTATTTACTTTCAAACAAAGCAAAGCTACATATATTCAGTTGCAGGCAACATCAGACATCAACTGCTAATCATTGGAGATGCATAACACAGACACAAACGCACACAGAACACACACACACATGCATACACATATATAAACCACAGTTTTGATACATGTGGAATTTCCAGCAGATAGCAACAGCAGTTAGAGGGAGCATGAGAAAATAAAGAAGTGTCGGGGACTGAGTGGTCCCAGTAGGAGTATTAGGAGCTGTAACCCAGAAACTTGAACAGTGTCTCCAGCAGATCCCAGGGGCAACATCACCGGTCTCTGTCCAGAAGAGCATAATCCTAGGAACAGGTTAGAGCGCACCGAAACCTCAAACACTCAGGCCAAATAAAGTAGACACTTTTTTTTTAATCTTAAAATGATTATTTTACTTGTCTTTTTTTTTTTTAGTTTTATTGTTTTTATTTTAAAATCAGAATTTATATCCACCACAAACGTATATTTAAAACTTGAATGCAAACAGAAACTGGAAGCTGAATTCAAAAACAGATCAAGAAATCCACCTGCTTGAATTCACTCACTATTTCCTTTTGATATTGTACAGGGTTTGAATACTATAACATTTCACAGGAAAACAAAGACCAAAAAAACAATGGCGTCTCTAATCTGTGATTTGATACATATACTGGTTACAAAAATGGAAAGAAAGAGAAAAAATATGGAGTCATTAAATGCAACATTTTCTAAACACGATTATTATGCAAACCCACAAAAGATGAAACATTCTGAGGTATTGAACGCAATAAATATACAACACCTTAAATGATACACATGTTGCACAACATGCAGATGTTTATTTAAAGCTTGGATTCCAAACACCTGAGGCTGCTGTTGTCGCGGGGGGGCGGGGCTTCAGCAGGAAGCGGAGCAACAGCAGGAAGAAGCACACACTGACCACACTCAGGATGACCACACCTGAGATCAGAGCACTGGTCACTGGGTTCATTGAATGGGAGAGATCTCCAGAGGCTGGAAGATGGAAAGGGAAAGAAACTGAAAACAAGCTCTCGGATGAGGTTTTTACCACGAGCTGAGCCCGAGTCTTTCCCTTGCAGGAACAGAAGAGGGTTTGCTGTAAACAGTCATTTCAAAGGGAATCTGCTGTCATGATAGTTTACAACACTTTTATGTTTCACAACATTGCGTAATGGCACTTACCGAGCTGGGAGTTGTTGACGGGAGTTTCATCTGTAAAGCAATTTTTAAAGCGCTTATTGGATTCATTTTTACTTCAGCAGTCCTAATTGAAATCAGCTTTAAATTAGCAGTTTGACATTTCAGGCTGTTGCTTCTTATTTTGACTGGATTCCTGCACTCTCAGCATGAAAGCAAAGCAGCATGTCTCTCAAAACTATTCCAGTAAAAGTGGGTTTATAGTTCATACCACTCCTGGTGATGATTGGACCGGCAGAGAGGATGGCGTTCCCTGATGCTGCTGCCATGGAATCAGGGGTCTCCTCTTCCCTTTTGCGCCGCCGCCCACAGATCTGCCAATCACATCGTCAGATTTCAGTCCTCAGTGAGGTGAGGAAACAGGTGGTGAGTCACAAACGGAGATTTTCACTCTTACAGGCATTAACATGATGCAGTCATCGGCCCGGCAAAGCTTGGTGACGCAGTGCAAAAACACAGTCGACATCTTCTGGTGCCTATGTTTAACAAAACGGAAAACCTCAAAGGAAAAACGGCCCATCTGGCTCTTCCCGTTCTCCAAAACTGTCGTCTGGGGATCTTTATAGCAACTGTATGGAAGCAGACCCAGCAGAAATGCTAGATTTAATGTCTATGAGTACCCTTAAGAACTCTTTAGGAAGAGAAAACGTGGCATTCAATGAGGATAAGCCATGTGGAGAACCTGAATAGGTAATGACTCCCTTTTGTGGTATCGAGTCATTATCTTGAAGCAGAAAAAAAACACGAGATTTACCCAAAGAAAAGGTCATAGCGGAGTTCATCATTAGGATTCCCTGAGGGGGTTGTGTAACAGTAGTCCATCAAAATGTTCCACCTGCAAAGAGACAAAACTGTGAGATGGGATGGAGGATAGAGATCCAACTGCATATGAGAAAACTGCAGCCTGGCGCCTTCATGAAGAATAATAACATAATAGCATAATGAATGTAGGCAAAGCAAAGAAAAGAGGAGTAAATCTGTAAAAATGATAGCGGGAAAGATGCTGTGGAGAACTATATTTAAAATATCCTTTCTGCTGCAGTAATAGGTTTGTTATGGTAAAGAGTCTTGCACATCTATGACGTGAAAATTATGGAAATTCAATAGTGAATAGCTGGGTTTTGTGCGGTACCGTTTGTCTAAGTTTGTGGCTTTCACAGCAGCAAATACTCTGGTTTTCAGAGCCAGTCCAGCCATGGGGATAGAGAGAGGCTGATTGTATGCTGAATCCTGGAGAAAAAAGAAAAAGAAAAAGAAAAGTTGATTGTTCTCTCAAAATGTGGCATAAAGCAAATGAAGACATTGAATCAGTCTTTACATAGCTGGTGTTATTCTATAGTTTTGCTATTTTTCTGCTGTCCAGAGCAATTTTTGCACAGGTCTGTAGCCAAACAAGCATATGTGACATTAATTGTTAAAGAAGGAGCACAATTATATGCAACACGGTGATTATGTTGTTTAAAGTAAGTACAGAGTATTCTAAGCAGTGTGATTTTAAACAGGATTACATCGCAAACCTTTTGTGGAATATTGTTGTTGGTGGAAAAATACATGGGCTATTACAGAAAACCAACTTTTGTTGTTTTCATGGAGTTAGTTGGAAACAGTGAAAATACTCAGCACTGATTATTAAAAGACATTAAAAGATGTTATATGAACATCGAACTGAGGCACTAAAACAAACCAAACATGCTCATCCAGTCATGTGCCAGTTCTAATGTCTATTTTGTTTCATATGAATTCCTCTGCACCTCTTAAGCTAGAAATGGAAATATATTTTTATTCCAGCGCTGCTTTGTACTCACATTGTACAGGATCATACTGAGCGTGCTCACAAAAGTACCGTTGCTGTCTTTGACAGACACAGCTGCAGAGGATCTGTGGAGAGACGGAGCCTTTGTGAGCCTTGGCTTAATAAATAACATTTCGGGAGCAGAGGTTTCGATTTAGTACAGTTATAAATCAGCTGCGCTTTTATTTATATACTTGTCTGATTTACGAAGGTCAGAGAATAATATATGTGAATAATAGATGTGAATAATAAAATTAATGGTTTGAAAAAATACTGTGAGGCACAAAGTCACTGAAGCTTTTAAACTGGGAATTTAATTGTTAGCACCGTTTTTGAAAGCTATAAGTGAATCTAATTAAATGAATATATCTTAAAGCCAGCCTTTCAGGATTAACTCTGCAAAGCAACTCCTGCAAGGTGCAGCTCTCTTTTGGACACTGATGGATGCTTTGGCAGAAACTCACGATGCCAGCTGTGAGTTATTGACCAGGTACTCCAGCGGGTAGCTGCAACTGAATTTATACAACAAACCAGGCAGATAGCTGATTATAGTTGGTGGGTCAGGGGTGTCGATGTAGCCTGATATATTCCCAATTTGTACAAGAGACATGTTCCCATAGGCAGTGGGCCCGTAGGCTGTGCTGACCTGCAGAGAGAAACATCAGCCAGTCACTTTGCTCCAACGTCAATACACAACATGATGAAGCTGATTATTGATTAGAATAAAGCCATGCGCAGTGCTCGAGTATTCTTTACCACCAGACTGTTGCCGCAGGCCTCCAAAGTGCTGAGGCTGATGCTGAACAGAAGTGCTGTGGGGAAAGTGTTGTTGTTGATGAAGCCGCGACACTGGGCTTCGCTGTGATGGCCGTTGAGGGCCAAATCTGCGTCGGTGTAGCCGGAGAAGAGAACAGGACAGAAGTTGATCTTCAAAGTGATGGTCTGAACCCCGCAGTACACGCTGATGTCCCTTTCACCTGGAGGAAGGCGGGAGACGAAGGTTCAGAGAGAAAAGTTGGCAATGTAATATTTGAAATCAAGATAAAAATCAAGACATGCCGGTTCATGCAAGGCAGAAGTTACACATTTTTCTAATTAAGACTTTTATTCACTTTTGTACAGGAATTTTAAAGTATGAAATTACTAACCGAGCTCTGTGGAGGCAAAATCAGTCAGGTAAATCAATCTAGTGTAATTTTGTAGATCATAGCAGGAGATTGCCTCAAAATGTCTGTATCCAGGAAATGTTTGTCATAATAGGGCCATAAACATTGTAATTAAAATATTCGATGTATTAAATTATTTATGTGGTTCACATGTTTTTTTAACTATAAATGAAGCTTCCAGCTTAGATAGGCAGAAAGGTATTTTGATGATCTATCTAAATATAAAGATATAACTTTATCGTCCTCAATATTAACTCTCAATAAGGAAATAAACGTTATTAGAAACGCCATCAGTAAAAAAAGCTTCACCCTACCAGAACTATTTGTGCTCATTTTAATGTGGCTGCTACTTTTGCTGCTCATAGATCTATCGTGTTCCACACCTGTTGGCAGACGTGTGTGGACGGCAAAGAGAGAACCTGCTGGGGAGGATTCTCACCTGGAAACCTGCTGTGGTAGTTGGCATCGCAGTTGTATCCATTAAACTGTGTGGAGACTGACGCGGCGTTACTCAGGAGCAGGAAGATAAAACCCATTCGTGTCATTTCCGCGCCTAAGAGAGGTTTGTCCGCTGTCATCTTCAGAAGGTCACCACTGCATTAGCCACATTCCTCAGGTACGTGTTAAGAAACAGCACTTATCTCAAAATTAGATGTTCAAAAACAATGCCTGTTGTTTCCTGACTGCTCCACGGTTTGACCTCTATCAAAGTAGTTCAGCCTTCTTTCCCCACGTCCCCTAATCCTTCTTGTTCTGCTCCCCCTGCACCCTTTTACCTCAGTTGCTCATGTTGGTCTAATGCCTCCATTACCCAACCCCTTTTAAACTGAGGTCACCCCTCTTTGTGGCTCATTTCATCCCACCCCCCCAACCCCACAACCCCCCCTCCGTCCACCCCCACATCTATTATTTTTCCACACCTGTTTACCTGTCTCCTGCCTTTTCCAAAGTAATTGGCTGGAACCCCTCTTCACCTGGTTAGCGATGAGAGAAAAGTTCAACTCTGTGGCATGCAGCTCTAGTGGCACAGAGTACCTAAACTAAACACAGCGTCAGCCTCACATGTATCTCTTGTGTGTGCACAGATGACAAAGATACCTCGACAAAAACCAGCTGCGGTGCAGAATATGGGAAACTCCATCAGATCTGAATGGACTGGACAAATCTTTTCACCATGCCAAGAAACCTGAGCGTACTCAGAGGGTTTCCACTCATCTCTCCACAGTCTGATCTCTGTCTGTCAGATCACACAAACGGCGAGCCTCAGCAGGGGGGGCCCAGCTCAGGAATTAAGCTGTCATCGGCTCCTGCTGCGGCCCACATTCACATCAACATAAAAGTCAACTCACGGTCTGATGCAGGGCTGTGTGTGGGTAATTGTGATGCACAAGACATCACTTAGAGTAAAGGCATTCAGTGGTACAGCTACGGCACAGTGCTTTCAGCATTGCAGAAGGAAAAAGTGGACTCTAGCATGTGCTTTTATGCCGTGTTTCTCTGCCTCGAGATAACCCGCTCACCTTGGATTTTACTGCAGTCCATCTAACAAAACATTATTATGTCGCACTTGTAGCATAACACAAAAAAACTTCTTCTTCTGAAGTTCCTTGACCTTTTAAAATGATCTACTCAAATTTAAAGAGGTGTAAGAGAGTGTTGCTTGAGTCTTCTGTGATGCTGCTGAGCTCAGTCCAAGCCTGTGGAAAGCATGAATTTATACAAATGGGTCACAAATATGGAAAAACAACTTAAAATATGTATAATTTTTCACGACAGCTGTAACTACAGCATTTTTTGGGAAATATTTTGATTATTGGATTTGGTGTTTAGTGGGTATTGGCAGCAGATCTGCCCATTTTCACCGTTATCGAGGAACATTTCACTCTGTGCAAATATGCAGCTCACTTTGTCCTAATGTTTATGTGGATATAAATAAAGGAACTCAATAAGCTTTACAATATGTTTTATTTTTCAGAATGCTCGGTTTTGATGCATTCATGGAATTGGTTAATAGGAAAGTTGGTATATTGGATTATTGGCAGACTGTAAAATACCTATGAACAAGGCACAGAGAAGAAATTGCTTAAAACTTAATCCAATTTGTGACTCGTTTGTCAGACAATCAATGTAAGTCTGGTTTGCTGTAGTTTATGAACAAAGTGACAACAATTTTCTATTTTTCATTCATATTATTTCTTTTCCATCTGTGTCTTTCCTGTAGAGGAAAAAAAGGGCCAAATATCTCAAAGCAAATAGTTTCATTGCTTTTTAGATGAGCAGAAATAAACTTTTCTGTACCCTGCTGTCCTCATTCCTTTCTCTGAGTAATGACAAACAAACAGATGTGGAATTAAAGCACCTTCAGTGGTGTCTGAAGGGCCTTGAAACAGTCACATGCTTAAGATTGCTGAAAGTTGCTTATAAAATTCATGCTCGTGCAGTTCCCTGAAACAGAAATGTTCTAAACAGGACATTACTTGTCCTGGAGTCTCAGAAACACTTTGAAAAATTATTTTGGATACAAATTCTTGGAAGCATATTAGTCACAAGCTTTTCGATGGGTAAATCAATCATTTCAATACCCTCTTTTCATGCTAACAACATCCACCAGTCTACCCGGTCTGCATGTCAAAGTGTTCTAGCCTCCAAGTTGCCCACGGAGTGTGCATGATAGTTGGAAAGTGCTTGAAGGCATAGGATAAAGTGCAGCATGAATGTGGCCTGTGGTAAAAAAGAAAAAAAGTACTTTGAGTGCTCTGAGTAGAAAAATGCTATAGAAATTCGAAATTATTTATCATTAGTGGCCTGAGTCCTGAGTGGGGATATCTGGGATGTCCTGGCATCACAAGTGGAAAGGGAAGTTGTGTTGATGGCATACCGTGTGGTAACATAGATCATTTCAATGTTACTCCAGGGATGATTTTATTGTTTTGTTTAAATAAAGAGAACTGTGTGATTGACCTGTGGTCATATCACCTGAGCCCAAATGCCGTGAGCATCAAGTGTTCAATTCCCGGCCAAGCAAACCAATGCATGCAATCACTGCATGTCAGCCCCGCTCTCGCTTCTCAGATCTCCCCTCTCTGCCCACTGTCCACAACTCTGAAACTCTCTGACTGTTCACTGGCTCTGGCAGTATTTTTAATTGTAGTTTTTACATTTTTAGTTTTAAGAGCCTTTAAATAAATCCTTGACTACTACAAACTGAGTTTCACAAAAAAAAAAAAAAAAAAAAAAAAGATTATGTGGAAAAATAAATATTTTGTCCAGGTATTATTTTTGATTTGTATCAATCTAATGGTCTGGGTAAAATTAGAATAGACTACATTTAATAAGAAATATGCATACACAGTCATGGTAAAGTAAATCATCAAAGTAAATACAAACTGAGAGCAACATGACATATTACACTGTGCAACTAGTTCTTTAATAACAATAAGAATGAGAATAACTTTATTGATCCCAGAGGGAAATTCATATGTTTCATATCTCATAATAAAAACAAAAACAAAATTAAGATGCATTGTGTGAATAATTAAATACATCCCTATGATCCAATAGCTTGTAGAAGCAGCAATAACTTTCAATGATATTTTTTTGCTTCTGTTTGACTTTATCAGTCTCTCACATCGATGTAGAGGAATTTTGGCCCACTCTTCTTTACAACATGACTTCAGTTCACCGAGGTTTGCAAAACCTTGATTCTTTTCTTTTTCAGCAATTCTTTGTGTAGATTTGCTGCTGTGCTTGGGATCATTGGCCTTTTGCATGACCCATTTTCAGCCAAGGTTTAGCTGTCACACAGATGGCCTCACATTTGACACTAGAATACTTTGGTATACAGAGGTGTTCATTGTCGACTCAATCGCTGCACGATTCCCAGGTTCTGTAGCTTCAAAACACGCTTAAATCACCCCTACACCATCGTGCCCGATCTGCTATTTGGCTCTCACTAAACGTGGTTCGATACACTATATCCAAACATCTCCACTTGTGTTTCTTGTCTGTCCATTGTTCCAGAAGTCTTGTGGTTTCTTCAGCTATAGCTTTGCAAATCCAAGCTCTACTGCCATGCTTTTTATTTTAGAAACCCTTCCAAACGAACCACACTTGTTCAGTCTTTTTTGAATTGCACTGTCATGAACTTTCTTTGAGCATTGTACGGTCTGACCTTGGGGTCAGTTTGCTGGGATGTTCACTGCTGTCAAGATTGGCAACAGTCTTCAGTGTTTTCCGATTGTGAATAATCTTTCTCACTTGTAGAATGATGGACTTTAAATAGTTTGGTAATGACCTTATAACCACTCCCTGATTGATCGCTGCTGTAAGATCACTGCTGATATCTTTCCTCCTTGGCATTTTGCTAGCCCACACCTGAATGCTCCAGACCAACAAACCAAAACTTCTGCTTTTATAGAGGTTCTCAGATTCACTGGTGAGCAATTAATCAGTTGCATTTAATTACCAGCACCTGGCACCCTTTTAATTCATATGGAAACAGTAAGCGTGTCCTCAGCTTTTTATCCCCTGCTTTGGCATTTTGTTTCAGTTTTTATTAAACAAATGATGACACGTTGTAATATGTCATATTTTGTAGTTCATCGGGTGTTGTAGTTACCTATTTTTACACCTGCTTAGGACCAGAGTGATTTGCTGTACTGTCCTGACACAAATAAAGAGTATACTTGTTTTTTTTACTGACTGTATATCAAAGCATTAGATTTATTCATTCAATCTTTTTTTGCATGAGCTCATTGAAACATTATATGCTTTGATTGTTATTCCCTTCCTGCCCCTAATATTGTTACTGTCGTCTAAGACATGTAATGTATGTCACCTGGTTCAGGCACATCCTGCTCTGTGGTTTTATGTGTCAGATCCAGACTCACAGCCCTACACAGCTTGCTGCACATGTTTGCTATCCCCCCTGCCTTTCTGATAAGGTAGTGCTGAAATACAATATGAATTCTGAGCAAAACAAGATCAGATGCCCACGTATCCTGCTTTTTTTTGTGTTTTGTTACAAATCCCACCCAGCAGATGACCTATTTAGCCAGTACACTGTGCGTTCAGTACAATTCTTTCTTAAAGATGCAAGATTAAACGAAATATCTCTCACCAGTGTGTGGAAATACATGGTTGCTGGTTTTCTTCAAATCTGGCATCAAAATCATTCTTTGTTAAACATCAATGAACTTTCTGATCCTTGCCATAAAACCACGATTTTCTGTGCAGCCCTCATGAGCTTTGCGAATGATTTCTTCAGGTCACCATGTCCAGAAACTTTTAATGGCTCGGGACCACCTGCCAAACTTAGATCTGCCTGATAGAGCCGCGTCTATCTGATCAGCCTGAAACACCCAGACTCAACAAACAGACATCTAAATCACACAATCTGGGCTGAAGCACAAAACCTGTGAGAGTGCGGCTGTAATCTGATGCTCCAGTTTTAACGCAGGCAGGAAAGTGAAGCCTTCATCAAAGGCCCTGCTGCGATTTGATCCTCGGTGAGTAATGTTTGCCAAAGCCAGGAAAAATCTTTATT